AACATAAGCTTGCTCAACTCCTGCTGAAAAAGAGCTTGAAAGAATAAACCAGCTTGAATATTCAAAATCCAACACATCAATAAGAATTAAAAAAACAAGTAATAACAAGTAATAACAGCCTATCATTTTGACAGGTTTTATTTTTAGTTTTATTTTTAGTGAATTTCGAGTTGTCACATTCTCAAGGATTCTTCTTCCAGATCTCAGGGCTAAAAGGGCTAACTACCTCCTATTTAACGAAAGGTAAGTTACACAAAAAATGCCAGCTGTCATGAGATAAAGGACAAATCATGAGTCAGCAAAATCATTCCAGAGCTTTATCAAGGAACTTATCTTTTCTTCCAGGTTGCTTTCTTTTGTGTGACATTTGTCTGACATTGCCTGAAATTATTTCCTTACACCTTGGGAGTTTGGCTGGGACACCTGACAATATTACTGACAGTGGATTAAACACATCTGCAAACTTTGTATAAAGAATCAATTGATCATCCTACAGTCTGGGAAAGGAGAAGAAAGGGAATAAGGAGGGGGTGGGGAAGGGGAAAAAGGGAAGAAAGGAGGAAAAGAGGATAGGAAGATTTGTTTCCTTATTTATATATCTTCAACCCGGTAGTGTAGGCATCCATGCAAAGATCCTCACTGAGGATTTGTTACAGCCTTTTTGAAAAGTGAAAATACTTAGTAGCAGAGACAATACCAACATGAAAAAAATATCCTGATATATATGAAATGTGTATATATATATATATACACCACTCTACATGAAATATATATCTACATATCCTACAATGTCCTGATCTGATTTTTAGATGGGCCACAGATCAACTTCATTCCTGCTCTCACAAAACAATCTTACCAGATCCTTAGTAGCAGTAAAGGAACAAACAAATAGAGACTGTGAAACTGACCTTACATGTTAGTGAAAGATAAGTCAATATTAAAAAAACCCAAAACTAAACAACAACAACAAAAAGCATTAAAACCAAAAATAAATGTATGTTGATAGAGCTGAAGACTGCTTTATTGGTTCCTCCCTTGGTTTCAGCACTCAGTCCAATGTCCCAGTGTTGTAGCTTTTATTTTTCTTAAGGGTTTTCCCCCCATCTAAAAGCATTGCTGGGGAAGTTTTAGGCCTGTTGAACAAAATCTTCCATGTCAATGACCTCTTTGGAAGAATTTAGGGAGAAAGGAGATTTCACTCCAAAGACACATTGTGGCTGCATCTACTCGGTGTGGCAGAAAGTACAGGGAACTGCCTCTCCAGGGCTTGTGTATGTCCTGGTGCTCTGCACAGCTCATGCATCCAAGCAGTGATGGTCACAGCCAGGTACAAAAGCTGAGCCAGAAGGCTCATGGAAGGACCTGTCCATAAGGACATTTCTAGACTGGCAATGAAGCCTGTGTACTCAGTAAGCTCTGGGACTTTGGTAAACAGGGGTTGTGATGTACAAATGGAAAGAGAGCAGGTGGAGAAAACTCAGAAAAGTCACTATTCCTTTTCTTGCAAATCCAGTAGTGGCAACCATGGCTCGCTTGGACACAGTTTCTTGCCCTTTGTCCTGGGGTGTCAGACCAGATCCCTGCTGTACTCTAAAGAAAGCCACTTCCCAGAAAGATGGCTGCTCCTGAACCAGCAGCATCGTCCTGTTGTTCCTCTGCCTGCTCTGTGTTGCATCAGAGTTCATCTGGCTTTCAGCTCAGACAGATTACACACATACTTTTCCCTCTAAGGCTCTGTACAGTTGCTCACCCTAAGTCAGCATGACTGTGGGCCCAAGTCATTAAAGACCTATGCAAGCTATACATATTTTTAAAGGATACCAAGTTAGAAAACCTCCAGGGTGTTTGCCCTAGGCAAGATAACTTTATGGTAGCTTTTCCCATTGTACTAGCTTGTCAGTGTTTGAGCACTTCCCCTCTGTGTTCTCATTCCATTGACAGTCTGGAGTTTCACTTTCATTTCTCTTGGGCACTTAAGTTTCAGTTCTCTTTCGGCACTGCCCTTTCCCTTACTGACACCTCCCTCAGCTACTGAATTACTTGTAAAACCGTTTGGAATATCTTTGTCTTCTTTTTGCTTTCTCACAACATTCATTTTCCTTTTTTTTTTTTCTTTCTTTCCTGACTTCACATCTTTCTCATCTGTTTTCCCCAAGTATCATAGTTTAAGCCACTAAGATGGGAAAATTAGGAAGGGCTGAGTTAATTAGGTTCTTAAGCTTATTTGTGAAACTAGGAATCAGCTTGGGAACTGTCACCAATAGGGATGGGCTTCAAATGTTTTATGGATGAGGAGAGTGTATGTTTAACCACTACCCTCATGAATTTGTGATTTACCTTACCTATGTGGATTTTTTAACAGACCAGCTTACCTTCTCTTTCTGCCATCCCCTTCCACTAATTCCCACAAAAATAAATTCCTTTTTCACTCTCCATGGTGTTATCTATTTGGAACTATGTCACATTTTATTTGAATCACAGATTGTTAAAGTAGGAAATGCTATTTCTAACACTTGGATCATTGTCATTCTGATCTTGAGAATTCTATTCAGACTAAGTATCTGTTCAAATTACTAAGCAGAAACCTCAAGCCTTATTTCTGTGCTTCCACAATTCCATCTTGGCACATCCCCCAAGTCACAGTAATTTTTCTTTGGGAAAAAATGTAACAATAATATGAGAAGAATTGCTGTAATTCTAGAATTACCACTTCATAATGACAACATAAGAAAATATTCTACTGTGGCATTATGATAGCTGCTTCGGCTAATGACTGCAGGGATCTGGAGTGATTCACAGGTCCAGCCCAGCCATAACTGGAAAACAGAATCAAATAAAAGAGGATAAAACAAGTTTATGAGTCTTCATGACACTCTTCTTCACCTCCCTAGTCCTGGGACCAGCAAAGTTGGGAGTCTGGGATGGAAGGGTAAGGTCTGACCCACTTCCCACTCCTGCTCCACTCCTGAAGATTTGGTGAGGACAGTGGCAGTCCCCCTGTGATGCCAATGAATGAGGAGAGCTGCACTGAGTCAGGGTCAAGTCCACCTGTGCGGAAGAGGACTGAGCAGCCACTAGGAATTTATAAACCCAACATGAGCTACCTTCAAATTAGTAATTTAATTTAAAAAATGAAATACATATGTTCTGTACATACATAAAAATGCAGGAAATTGTATAGTCTGTAACCACCACTCAAGATTGCTCTCTCACAAATCTGAGTGATGCATACAACACTATTATAATCTGAAAGCCAGTTTCTTAGTTGTGTAATAAAGCTCTTCATCATAGCATGATCAGCTTCTGCACAAACAGATAAGAGGCAGTCAGCTCTGGCAGTTTATACTTTGTGGTTGTAAGCAGTTCAGGGATGCTACTCTGCAAAATTGTAATTAAAATTAATTTTATTCTTCACTGTGCTGTTAAGCAAGCCACAGGCTTGGTTCTCCTTTTACATACACCTCCTTTCTGTAACTGTGCGGGAATCAAAGTGAAAAGCATTGCAACTTTGTGACTACTCAGAGTACTGCTTAATCTTGTAATTGTAGGCTTTTCATCGTGAAACACAACAGTTGGGAACACAACTGGGGGAATGAGAGCGCAGCAAGCCTGCTATTTCCTAACAGAGTATCCCTAAGCCATTTTGCTGTACTGTATTTTTTTCTGCAATTTTTCCTTTATTTCTCTATTTAAAAAAAAAAAATGGGTGAAAAGCCACGATACTGTAGCAATAGTAATTTTTAAAAAGGAGACATCTTACAACAGCGGAAGTTTCAACTGCACTAGAATTTAGAAAATAAAAATTAGAAAGGCCTGTAGCAGCCATGTTTCCACACTCAGCATTGTTCCACCACCATCGGCACGGCACAGCTCTGGGCCAGCTCCCGCCGGCTTTGGGCAAACCCACGTGTCTCTGCACACCAGAGCCACCAGCCAACGCACGGCCTCATCTCAGGGAAATCTTTTATCCAGGAGATAGGGAGGCTCGCTCGGACTGGTCCCAGGCGAACTGCTGACCGGTTCCCATCGGCGTGACCAATGGAACTCCGCGGGCAAACGCGAGGCCCGCTCCCGTTCCCAAAGCGGCCGCCGGTCCTCCCTGCTCCGCGCGCTCGCCGGGTCGCGGCCGCTGCGCCCGCGCGTGCCCGGGGCGCGCCGCGCGCGCAGCCCCGCGCACACCGCGCCGCCCCGCCTCGCGCCCCCCGGCCCCCGGCCGCGGGCGGGCGCGCGCGCTGACGCGGGCGGCGCCCATAGGCGGAGAGGCGCGCGCGCGCTCAGCCCGCCACCCCCCGTCCCACTGTCCCCCGCCGGGAGCTCGGGCCTCAGCCGGTCCCGCCGCGCCGGCCCAGAGCCGCGAGCACTCCACCGCCGGCGCCTACCGGCTCTGCGCGGGCGCCGGGCACAAGCGGGGAGAGGGGGGAACCGCCGCGGGAGCGCGCCGGGGGGAGGCGGTGACGGGGAACGGCCGCCGCCGCGAGCGAGCCCCGCCCCGCCACGCCCCGCCCGCCCACTCCCCGCTCCCCGCCCGCCGGGACCGTTTCGGCCGCCTTTCCTCCCCGCTCCGCGTGCGCGCGCCGCTCCCGCGCCGGCCGGGCCGCATGAGCGGCATGAGCGGCTCCGCCTGAGTACCGCGCGCCGCCACCTCCCTGCTGCCGCCGGGTCCCGGCGGGCGTCGCGTCCTCCCCGCGCCGCCGCCGAGGATGCTGAAGATGAAGCTGCCCCTGAAGCAGACGAGCCACAAGGCAGCGGCGGCGGAAGATGCGACGGCGGCGGGGTTGAAGGAGCCCGGCGGTGCCCTGGACTGTCACCTCCCGCTGCAGCAGCAGGTGCCCCGGGCCCGCGGGGGCGCCGCGGCGGCGACGGGGAGGGGGTGTGGGTTGGAGAGGCCGAGCCGGCTGCACGGCCTGGGCCCGGGGCCTGGGCCCGGCCCGCCG